TTTAATTTTTTTTTTGATGGGTCCCTGGTCATGTTTGAACGTAACAGGGCAATGAACAGGCAGACACTGCTGCGGCGTGGGGTCAGCATTCACATGACCACCATTTCTTATAGCGTAATATCCATGTACGGACTATTTTGCTGAATATCATTCCCACCTTTCACACCCTTGGCAACAACGTTGGTCTAACTATGCTCGGCAACAAACTTCAGTCCAATTAAACCGAGTATAGGTTACTGGATACCGTCTTCTATCACCAGTGTCGATGTATGGGAGACTACTCTCTCCCGTCTTTCGCATTGGCCAATACTCTCTTACACATTGTAAATCTCATGGAGAGGCGTCTTGCACCACTCTTGAGAATTGCCAACTCCATTATCAGTCAGCAACATTCTGTTGGGACTGCCCACTTTATCAACGAGCAACAGCAGAAATTTACCTCTGTCGTCGTCCTTCGCACCCTCTGCTCTCTTCTTTAACCTCCCTTCTCGCTGGATGGACCCACCTTTCATCCGACTACTCACATTGACCTTTTTGACCACGACTGACTTACTCCACAAATTTTGATACTTCAGCCCTTCTACTTGTATCCTTGCACCCCTACCCCCCGTACTATCCCTGCCCCGCTGTTTTCTGTAACCTGCAAAAACATCCCCCCCCCCTTTGCCATCCATTCCCCCTTCTTCCTTTCCCCTCCCGCACGCTGTAAGCCCTTTGGCTTAGCGTTTTTTTTTGATTAAAAAAAATAATAAAAATCCAAAAACACAGTCAAAGTTTTTTTTCTTTCCATTACACTGTGCTGCGGGTTTTTTTTTATACGTGAAACACGACCAATAGACCCATTCTTTCATATGTAGGCCCCCAGCTTTTGTAGATTTGAAGACGCTAAAATTTTGCTTACTAGTACGTCAATAACCCTGGGCTAAACCTCTAGTACGTCGAAAACCCCCAAAGGGGTTTAAGGGTTGAGATGAATGAGATTCTAGTGGGGTTGGGGTTGGGGCTAGAAAGCGTATTTGGGAGGTACCTATGAGGTAGTCTATTGACGGGTGTTTTAGCTTGGATTTTTCCTAGATTTTTTCCTGTGGTGGAAAAGAAAACTTGAGTCTGTTTGCTTTTCAGTTGGGGGATAAGGGTTTTTCTGATTTTTTTTATTTGATTGTTCTATTTTGGATTATTCGATTGGTACTTCTCCCCCGTTGTGGGGTGACAGGTCACTGTTTGGGGTGACAGTTTTCGTGGAGGGGGGAGGTTCAGGTGTGTACCATACTTTTTCACTAGTATCGCTTTATCATTGAGGGGGAATTCTGCATATCGTTTTCGCTTCTGGGCTTTTCTTCAACATGTTTAAGGGTTTAGCATGCAAGGTAAAACACTTTTTTTATACCACTTGCGATCCTATGCACACAGTCAACAAAACCCCATCATTGCGTCAAAACCTTTTCGACAATCGCACATTTTTTCGATAGTCGACAAAGCAGCTGCTTTACAGTATGTTCATTGTTGTCCCTGTTTAGCCTGTCTGTACCATCTCATTTCTGTGGATGGTTGACAGCAACGTCACATCCCATTTGTCTTGCCACGTCAGTGTCATGATGGCATGTGTTTTCTATTTCTTCTCACTGTTCCACATATATCAATATTGTTCACATGTAGGAAATCAGGAAGCATAGGGCTTGTATACCAGTTGTCTGTGAGCAATTCATAACCCTTGCCAAGGTATGGGTCCATCATCTTGCGAACATCATCCCCAGAAATGCCCAACATGCACCTGGTATCTTCGAGTGTATTTTTCCCTGTGCAGATAATGACATCCAACACAATACCAGTCTCACAGTCACACATAACAAAGAGTTTTATACCAAAGTGATTACATTTGCTTGGTACATGTTGTTTGAATGACAGTCGTCCCTTGAACAGAATCAAGGACTCGTCAACAACAATGTTCTTGAATGGATAAAAGTAGGCACTGAATTTTTGCTTCAGATACATAAACATTTCCCAGATTTTGTATAGAAGGCCATTTCTGTTTGGCGTATTCCTGTCTTGAGAAGTGCAACATTCATTGCAACAGAGTGAATCTGTTGCAGGGAAGGAGGTCACGGAAGACTGGAGTACTGATGAAGCAGTCTGTGGACCAGTAGTGTGCTATATTGTTCTTATATGTATGTGGCATAAGCATGACAGTGGCAAGGAATAAATACATTTCAGCCACAGTTGTATCTTTCCACCTGCGCAGCCGTGATGATTCTACAACATCTCTGTTGTCCATTGTATACCAGTAGTACATGTCAGTCTGGGTAACAATCAGGTTCATTATAGGCTCATCAAAGTATAGTTGAAAATAGTCTCTGTGGCACAGTGCCACTTCCACTGGCATCAAAATTAAAAGGATGTAGCACAAATGGTGTACTTTCTGTCCAGTTCCATTTGCGGTCACATGGTGCAGGGTGGACCTGTGGCATGGAGCGTGGGGGAGCAGGAGGAGGGACAGGAGTGGAGGTAGCACATGGTTAAGAGGGTGCTGGGCAGTCCTTTGTCTGCCTACCCACTGCGCCACGAGGTCCAGGCACCGTGTCATCCACCTCCTCTTCCTCCATCTCAGCATATTCTCCTTCATGATCACTATCACTATCAGTGGCTGGGGTTTTGGATCATGACCTACCATGACCCCTGCTGACTGCATATGGCACACTGCCTGAACACAGGAGACGACGCCTAAAAGTACATTTCACTGGGAATAATGATAATCACTTCTACTCTACGAATCTTTTATGGGCATAAAATCGATTTCATCATTGTTACTCATATCACTTTCACTATCGTCAACACCACAATGCATGGAAAATTATAATTTCCTCTTGTGGAGTTGCTTTTGGGTAGTAACACTAGCAACCCCTTAGGTGCTGGGTTGAGGATCTGTTGTGGCCACACTGGCCACCCCAGAGGTGATGGGCTGAGGGTCATCTGGGTTGTCATCAATAGTTTCACTAATTCCTTGATCATTAGTGGCCATATTGGTGTCAAATCCACTAAACTCGCATTTTGTTTCACTTTCCGAGAATAGTAGAATGTTAATATGATGAGGCATGAATTAATCACGGGGGTTTGCCATGATGTTGACCCAAGATGGAGCTGAAACTAACTGTTGCTACTATGTAGTACTCCAGTATCCCCAATTTTTTTCATACTATGCACACTGCGCTGACCCATTCTCTTATATCTGGGTGACTCAGGCCTGTAGCATCAAATTTGAAGGCATGAAAAATAAAATGTAGACCTACGTTCAGAGCGCTATGCGAGTGAACATAGATCAACGTTTGGACAGTTTAAGGGTTAAATAAGCATTCATATCTTTCTTACACTGATGGCATTCTCCTTGTACCTCATCTACCTCACATTATCATTTACTCCATGATTCCATAATTACCTAATATGCTCTCTACAGCAGTTTCTGCCACTTTATCATTTGGGTCCCGCCACAACGATTACTTACTCACTTGGTTGAAAACTCTCTTAACACACTCTTAATACCTCCCAAAATCTCTCTCCTCTACATTCCTCTTTTCCCCAGGTGCATGAACACTTTGTGTAACCCACTCTTTGCATCCCACTTTTATTTTAATTTGCATAATTCTTGAATTTAGACACTTAAATTCCTTTTTTGGTTTCATAAATGATCATTTAATATTACTGCTATTCCTTCCATAGCTCTGATTCTCTCAGATACACTTGACTTAATCCTATTTACACCCCCCTACTGAAATTCTCCCTTACCTTTGTAGTTTTGTTTTTAGAGCCAGGACATGCAGCTTTTCATTCATAACATTTACTATCAGTTCTTTCTTATCTGTACTACACCCACACACATGCAAACAACCCAACTTTAATTTTTTTCCCTTAGTAATTTATACAGGAGAAAGGGTTACTAACTTCTAGCTCCCAGCATTTTAAGTGCCTTTTACAACACACACGACTTACAGAGGAAGGATTCTCTCCACTTCTCCCTGGACATGAAATAATGCAAAAACAAGAACTTTTCAGAAATTAGAAGAAAACTTATATGAGTGTGTATACACATATATGTACATGCATAACTACATATGTAGTATGAACTAAGTGTAAGTAGTAACAAGACGTACTTGTCATCTTATATGTTGATGAGACCGAAAATAAAACTTGTGTAGTTTTGAATCAATGAAATTGGCTTGTCTTAGTTTCATATTTTAAAAAGTTGGATGTCTATATATCCACCCATCAGGCTGCATTCATCATCAGTGCTCAGTGCAACACAAATTTCCCCTTCTCTCGCCCCCTCCCCCTCAAAAAATGCATCTTTCTGATCAATATCTGGGTAAAATAATGCTGTGTAAATCAGTGTTGATATTCTTTGTGATGGTTGCCTTCTTTTTTGTTTGTTGGTAGTACTACTACAAGTGGTGTCATCCATTGTCCCACAGAAAAAAAAAAAACATTTTTTGAAGAATAAGATACTTTTCTGTTTCCGGGACCATACAGAAGAGAGTGTTTCAGCCTTCTCCCCTAGTTTTAAAAATCTAGTTGAAAACTGAAGCTGGTTGGGTGTGCAAACCTGATCTGGCATCTGTGCAGCTTATTAATAATAAAGTACATAGTAATGATCAGTAAGCAAGGCAAACAAAGCTGTTTCTGTGTAATGCTTTTATGTAGTTTAATGTCTATAATTTATGAGCAGGTACTGGAATTAAATAAGAATCCTTATGTTTTGCCAAGAGAGTTTTCTGACAACAAGTGTCTCACAGCAACAGTAACCATGCACAGTTTTATTTCCACCACTCTGAAACCAAACTCATTTACTAAGGTTGATCACCTATGGGCCAAAAACAAAAAGATCAGAATGTTTTGTACTTGATTTTTATACAATTTACTTTTTTTTTCAGAATTGTAAATTTAAAGTACAGCATCTTAGAATTAAAGGGCCTAGTTGTGAGATATAAATGTGAATATTTTTACATTTTCAGGCATCCAACAGTCCTAATGGATCTCGTCATGACAAATCCACTAGTGAAGAGGTCAGTGCCCTGTTGTTTGCAATGCTTAAATGCAGAGTGCTTGAAAGAAGTTTTTGTTTGCAGTGGTTTGCTGATTAAAAGTTGGTTCATTGCTTGCCTTGAAATTGGTATCCTTTGAGGCTTTTGTTTTTGAGGGCTAAGAAGTTTGTTTCATAGAAATGGTGACCTAGGCCGAGTGTATTAACTTTTGTGGCATTTATATAATAAGATGGCTAATTTCTGCACTCCCTTGTAGAAAATTTATGTACAGTAGACCCTCACCTTTTGTGCCTATACCTAATGCACCTCTGCCTGTTTATGATTTATTTTTCATCTGTTTCCACCTTTCACTCTGATGGGTCATCGCTTATCACAGTGACTACCTTTTTTTTTTACTACAATTCTTACTATAGAGAGTAGAATTATAATTTTTTCCTCAGTTAGCTTTTTATCAAATGCATTCATGCTGCATATATGCTATTTCATGCATGTATTGAGAGGTCACATGTGTTTGGTTCAGATTAATCAGTAACAATAGATTTTATGTTTGTTTTTATTATGATTGAATTATTAACATTATTTTTCCTCAGTTTTATATCAAATACATTCATACTTTGTGTATGTTTGCTCTATAAGAACTCGCATGTATTTGGAAGATATTGGTCAAAAACTACAGATTTAAAAGGTAAAAACATTGAGTGACTAGAAGGAAATGTTGAGCCCTCACCATCTGAAGGGACACTGAGGTGGATAGCCACCACACATATGGCAGGCAGCCTTCTTCACCCACAGCCCCACCATCTTATATTATCTTATCCCTCCTTCTGTTATATTGTCTCCCCTCCTTTTGTCACCCTGTCTTGTCTCTGGATATTAACTGGCAGAAAAATGAATATTAGTAATAGCTATGCCCATTTTCTCTGGAAGGAATATGCAGTAACTGTCTTAAACATACATTTCCTTCAAGGACCTTACTTAACCCTTAAACTGTCCAAACGTAGATCTACGTTAGTACTGCTAGCTCTCCAAACGTAGATCAACATTTTATTTTTCCTGCCTCCAAATTTGGCACGATTAGCCTGAGATGCCTGGTCAGTATAGAATGGGTCTTAACACTCAGTGTGCACAGTATTAAAAAAAAATCTGGGACTGCTTAGTAAATTGTGGGAGCACCAGTTCAATTATGCACCAGCTAGAGCAAATAGCTTGGCAAACACCAGGGATTCACTGATGTCATATATTAACACTCCCTTTTTAAGAAGAAAGTGATGTTTAGTGGCTTTGAGATGGATGTGGCCACAAGTGGTCAAGGAAATATCAATAACCTCGATAGTAACCCATGCGCAACATTTGTGCAACATCTTTTCATTTTTGATACAACTGGTAGTGTCATCCTGCCAGTGTCCTGTAACCTATGCCTTAAGTAAAGAGAAACGATTCTGGAACATGTAATACATATTCGGCAGGCCGACTGGCTGGCTGACTTTGGCTGTCTCTCCATCTGTATCTGTCTCTCTCTCTCTCTCTCTCTCTCTCTCTCTCTCTCTCTCTCTCTCTCTCTCTCTCTCTCTCTCTCTCTTCTCTCTCTCTCTCTCTATCCTCTCTCCTCTCCTCTTCTACCTCCTCTCTACCTCTCTCTCTACCCTCTCTCTACCTCTCTCTCTACCTCTCTCTCTACCTCTCTCTCTACCTCTCTCTCTACCTCTCTCTCTACCTCTCTCTCTACCTCTCTCTCTACCTCTCTCTCTACCTCTCTCTCTCTCTCCTCTCTCTCTCTCTCTACCTCTCTCTCTCTCTCCTCTCTACCTCTCTCTCTCTCTCTCCCCTCTCTCTCTCTCTCTCTCTCTCTACCTCTCTCTCTACCTCCCTCTCTCTCTCCTCTCTACCTCTCTCTCTCTCTACCTCTCTCTCTACCTCTCTCTCTCTACCTCTCTCTCACCTTCTCTCTACTCTCTTACTCTCTCTCTCTACCTCTCTCTCTCTACTCTCTCTCTACCTCTCTCCCCTCCTCTCTCTCTCTCTCTCTCTCTACCTCTCCTCCTCCTCTCTCTTCTCCTCTCTCTCTCTCTCTCTTCTTCTCTCTCCTCTCTTCTCTCTTCTCTCTCTCTCTCTCTCTCTCTCTCTCTCTCTCTCTCTCTTCTCTCTCTCTCTCTCCTCTCTCTCTCTCTCATCCACACACACACACACACACACACACACACACACACACACACAGGTACACATAAGTACAGTTATCATACATTCTAGAGTATATATCAGGTTTCTGTGTTATTTACATTGTTTATTATATCATATTAGATGAATTGTGATAGATAATTAAGCTGTAGAGTTGATGTTAGCAAAATTATTCAAGGAGTATTTTGTCCTGTCTTCAGACAAATTCTCGTCCACTGCTGTCCATACCACTACATGAATGACATTTTACTCATTCTAGAGTACATCAGGTTTCTATGTTATTTATATTGTTTATTATGTCATATTAGATGAATTGTGATAGATAAATAAGCCGTATAGATGATATTAGCAAAATATCTAGACAAAATGCTATGCTGTGCTTATAGATATAAGGCATAATAAGTATGATTGGCAAGTAATACACATTTTCACTTGACGAGGAATAAGATGTGACAACTCTGCATCAGTATATAATACCTGTTGGTTCATGAACTGCTCTGAGACAGAGAAACAAGCAGACAGAGAGAGAGACGAGAGACAGGCAGACAGAAAGACAGACACACAAGCAGACAGACAATGTTTGTGTGTGTCGCAGTGAAAACAAATAAACCCAGGGTTCCCTGCAACAGTGCACAGTCATCAAGTGTCACTCCACTGCTGCACTTTCAGCAGTTTAGTGACACTTGTCTTAGCACCATGCTTCAAGGAGTTTCAAATATACTCCAGCATGTCTAAAACACTGCTGGGACCTATAAATACTTTGTATATATTTCTAGACAATAGTAAATGACCAAAGCAGGTGAAAATGCTTACCTGTCTGTGTGTTTGTGACTACAGTGGATCTTCCACTCATGAGTTTAGTCCATTCTATGACCTTGCTCACATCTGGATTTATGCATTTGTAGAGTTAACTTTCCTAATTTAAATTAACTGAAATGCAATTAATCCATTCCCGGCTCTCAGGAGGCACGACAAGATATTTCAGTATTTTGCTAATATCAACTCTACGGCTTATTTATCTATCACAATTCATCTAATATGACATAATAAACAATGTAAATAACATAGAAACATGATATATACTCTAGAATGAATAAAATATGTCATTATGCGACAGGTGAAGGCATCCACAACTGCTCCTGCATAGTTGTGGTAATCACTGCCATCTAGTAACGGCTTTTTGAAGCAGTCTCTTATTATTATTATTATTATTATTATTATTATTATTATATAGTACATTATTATTATGCATGTATTATTATTATATGTATTATATTATTATTATTATTATATTATACTATTGTTATTATATGGGAAACTGGCAGGCCGGACTTGAGTCCTGGAGATGGGAAGTACAGTGTCTACACTCTGAAGAAGGGGTGTTAATGTTGCAGTTTTATAACTGTAGTGTAAAGCACCCCTCTGGCAAGACAGTGATGGAGTGAGTGATGATGAAAGTTTTTCTTTTTCGGGCCACCCTGCCTTGGTGGAAATCTGCCAATGAGTTAATAAAAAATAAAAAATAATTTGCAATTTTTGACACAAAAAACAGAAAATTTACTGTTATGCAGACTACTGCATTATTGTAGTAATTGTATAAATAAAGTCAACCCAGTCATGACTGCATATTGGAATGGACAGTAACGTCATTTGTTTACTCTTGAACATCATCGAAGAATCGAACATTTCTGCTACTTTGAGCTCAATTTCAAGGTACTTTTTGTTGTGAAACCAATCAGAATCATATCTATTTCTGTAATATATCTTCCATTCTATCAAAGGAGACCAAAAAGAACGAGAATACATGTACAACCATAAAAACCATACGAAAATACCACTGAGGGTCGGCTAATGGCTGAGAAGTGAACTCCATTATGTATGGTCTGATTTCTTTCATTTTTGGTGTACGTTAAGAAGCATCTTTCCGTCATACATTGCCCAAGTTTCAATAAGATAGTCCAACAAACAAATGAGATCCAGTTCCCTAGATCAAGAGCAAGAGCCCCTCACCAGTGTCAAGGAGCCTCACTTGAGGCCCGCTCGCGTATGGAAGCAAAAAAATCGACGGAGGGACTGCTCGTATTTGGAAAAGCTTGCAAGTGGAGGTTCCACTGTATTTGAGTACTATTTCAGTACCTAGTACAGTGGTCCCTCGTTTTTCATAATTAATCCGTTCCTGGAGGAGCTACTATAAACGAAATTTACGATTTGCGAATCAATTTTCCCCATAAGAAATAATGTAAATACAATTAATCCGTTTCTGACACTCAGAAGTATTAAAACAAAAAAAAATTTTACATGAAATATACATGTAGTACATAAACAATACAATGGGAAATGATGAATGAAACATTAACAGCATAACACTTACCTTTATTGGAGATTCTTCTTAGTGTATGGGAGACTGGAGGAGGAGAGAGATTGGATTGTTTACAGTTTGGAAGGGGAATCCCCTTCCAGCAACACCTCAGGTACCAATTGCTTCTCTGGGGTTGCTTCTCTTCTCTGTTTCTTAATGCCACTAGGACCACCTTGAGAGTCACTCTAGTCCTGTCTCGCAAAGTAACTGTGGAGAGAGCTCTGTTTCTGGCGTCTCTTTAACACTTCCCTAAAATGGTACAAGACTTTGTCACTGTACATATTTCTCACCTTCTTTACCACAGGCTTGGCACTAGGAGCTTTCTTTGGAGCCATGGTAGCTTATTTAGTACTTGCAAGCACTAAAATGAGTGGAATATTATGAAATATTTCGTAGGAGCACTTGAGGGGACCTTCACTCACTGGTAAACAATGCCAGACTGGCTGGGTAGGGAGGCCTCCCCGTCTCACACCGTGCGTAAGCGTCC